TGAATCAAAGTTAAAAATCTGTGGAAACAACACAATGAAACATTTTTTCATACAATATAATCGTCTATGAATGTGAATGATCGAATTCGCAATCGATTCTGATCGAACAAGTTTTTAATAGTTCTCGATCCAATATATATGAGTGTGTATGTGATACAAGTTTTGTTATTCGGACGTTACTCGCGTTCTAATGAAAAGAGGTTTTTGCAGATCGTGAACACAAAGATACAACGTTTGACATTTCAGTGATTATTTTTGCTGTAACGTATATTAAATATCAGAGAAAATGATGATGAAAAAGAGTGGAATCTTCTAAGATTAATAAATCATTTGACACCACATCTTTCTTGAGGAATAATGTCATTCATACCCCTTTTGAAAATATTTTTGTACATACGTCTAATTATGAGTTTTTATAACCGATTTTTCTTGTTTTCTTTATATAAAAAAACTCATCGTCTTTCGATATATTAAACAAAAAACTTTTTTTACAACTTAATTTCTCAAATACTTCAAAACTAAACGCAACAGGACGCGATTTGAAATTATTTTTCATCATTAACATCATATTGAAAGCTACGATTTAGCTTATGTTGCACTAATTGCACTCAGGAACTAAATTTAAAATTTAAAATTAACCAACGTACAAAAACAATTCTCTCATAATAGTCTAATACAGTCGAATAAGTTTTAAGGCAGGCTTCTTAAAAATAATCAGGCATGTTTTTATTCTATTGTTTTGAGTATTAGAAGCAACATGTTGTGCAGAATAAATTTCAAGTGTGCATGAGAAGAGAAATTAAATGGAAATAATAAATATTTTTCTATCAATTTCAAAAAATAAAGTTATTTTTATCTTTCTTGATGATATTTGAATTTGAACTCGTTTAAAACAAATAAAATTGATTTCTTCGGGTTATTATCTATATTAACATTACTATTAATTAAATATTAGTATGAATAAGTATTTCTTGATGATAAAGTCAGCTAACAGATCAGTACTTTCAAATAATGAATATATAAAAGCTTGAGCTAAAGTGCATTTTTTTTATCTACGACAATATGTAAGCACATTTTGTCGTACGTCAAAGCGTACATATAGAAAGAAAAAAGAAAAAGAACTTATCTGACATGGGAAAAATATACCGGGTTTTCTACGTGACGTATGAAAAAGATTGTGTATTACTCAAATATTAGTAAGATTTTTTTCTTATCGTTAAATTAAAAATTTCGCAATTGTTTCACATAGTGTACTGTTTTTCCAATCATAAGAGTAGTTTTTCAATAAGTTTATTTAATTTTCATGCATATTTATACAAAACTGAGTGTGCCACAAGCTTTGAACTTGTTCTCAATGAATCAAGCAAGAATGAACTTGAGCTTTTAATCCATAAAGCTCTTTGTAAACATATAATACACAAACAATAGTAAAAAGAAAAATAAGCAAAATATTACTTGTCTCACACAACTCAGATCATATTAGGTTATTTCTACTGAAAAACTGATGAGCTTAAACTATTTTTATTCATCGAGTTATTAAGAAAACATTTCAAGGGTGAATAAAATAATATTTCATTGTGTAGAAAAAAAATATAAAGTTTTGTATAGAAATAATTTGGTTAATTACAAATGGACATTTAAAAGGTTTAGAAGAAATGTCTAGAGTTTAAAAACACAATGAAAAAGAAAGAGAGGAAAATTACTATAAACTTAAAGAAATGATGATTCATATACCTGAGATGACAATCATATTAAAAAAATTCAAAGTTTGAGTCACAATTGAATCCAAAAAACCGAGTATTCTTAACTTCTTATACCGAATATTTAATGACATTCTTTAGCAAAATTAAAGATAATAATATGCAATCAAAAATAGTAAAGAATAGAGAAGAAGAATGACAACTGTAATATAATTTAGATTATAAAGATGAACTGTATTCAACTGTAAACTAACTATTAACATGGCGAAGAGATTGATCTATATATTGAGTTTATTAAAAAAAAAAGTAACAAAAAAGCTATACTACAAGTAATAGAAAAAGAGATTTGACTAAAATATGGTATGATAAAAATGATGGAAATCTGGCTTTTAAAAAGTAAAAATAAAATTTCAGACAATTGTAATATAATAAATTCTAAAAGTGCATTCACAATTTCCCTCGTTGATTGTATCGTACTACTCTAACAGAACTTTTTATAATGGAAATTTATTCAGTTCTTCAATATTTACCTTAGAGATTCATGAATAGATAAATCAATATAGACAAAAACCACTTTATTATGAATCTTGAAAATATTTACTGTATTCAGTTTCCGTTTTAACATTAGATACCAGTGACGATATGCACACGATTTTTTTTTTGTCCGTAAAATATAGGGTAATGACTTTATTTGAAAGTTTTCAAATTAAACAATATTCCTCTTACTTATTCCACAATTAATTCCTTCAGATTCCAGATTTTTTGATACATAAACAAGATCCTCAGTCGTGAATATTAATGATATCAATTCAACTGTTCAAAATGAATAAGTAATATAGATCGATAAAGTCTTATAGATGAAATCGCTTCTCTAATTAGTTCTACTTGAATGATGAAAAAAAAAAAAAAAAAAAAGATCTGACGGATGCATAACATTGACTATGTAAATAACTCCATGAGACTATAATCTCAGCGTACTATGACGCTTTCCATAAAATTTTTCTAAATAGGAAATTAGTGAATGTGTCTGAGTATCGTATGTTCCAATAACTGGCAAATTTCTTAGCTCAGTATTTTTATGAAAATACGGTATTGTCGCTACTGAAATAATAAAATTTGGATTATCAATATTTTCTCCCGTTGATTCTAGTAACCATTGTTGATGTGGTACATTGTAAAGCAGTCCATTATAACTTATGAACATTCCTGTATGAATTTGATTTAATCCTCTATTTAATACTTGATTAAGTACATTACCAGGAACATTAAGTTTTATAACATCTGTAGGAAATGGTAGACATCGTAGTATGTCATATTGCGTAATTACACCCGATATGGTATCGTCTAATCGTATTGCACCTGAATTAAAAATGCATACCGAGGCATTAGATGAGTGTATCATCGATTTACATAATACATCAGTTAATAGTGATTGTTGAGCACGTATCACTGTTGATCTTCCATCGAAAACCATTTGGGGTGGGAGAACACAAACTATTCGCTCGGGTTCAAAACCTAGAAATTGAGGAGAGATAAGTATTATAATTAACTTTTTCATTCAAATAATAAAAATGATTACAAACCTTGTTTTCTAAAAGCTTCTAAACCAGCTTGAAAATAATAATTTGTTACGTTGGATGTTGTTTCATCATCACTAAATTTTGGTGTGACTCGTGTTAACGTTGAATAGATTAATAAATGATTTGTTTTTATATTGTAGGCAAAACGATGAATAAAGACACTAAACGCATTATCATCCGCTTTATAAATCGGTGTAAATCTTGCACCACGTTGTAAATAATAATTTTCATGCTATAAATAATAAACTTTTTATTCAAAGTTACACTTATGAGAAATATATACCTACCTCATGTCCTCCTAGAACAACATCAATCTCTAAATTCTTTTCTACAATATCAATATCATTTTGCATGTTTAAATGTGTTAAACAGACCAAGACGTTCCACGTTAAACGTACGGTATATTTTAAATATTTTATATATTGGGCAACAAATGCGGATAATGATTGTTGTGGAGTAATTGAAACATATTGAGGGACACCTTGATTATCATCAATTGTTAAACCAATTATGAGTATTTTCACTCCTTTTATCTGAATCACTTTATATGGTAAAACATTATGAAATGGTTTTGTTGTATTTAACTCGTAAACATTAGTTGAAATCCATGTAAAATTAGATTCGGTTAAGCGTTGTCTTAAATCGGACATTTTAATATCAAATTCATGATTACCTAACGTCGCATAATCAACACCCAAAACATTGAACGAGGCAATCATTTGTTTACCATTCAATGGTGCGCCATCAACAATACTATTACCTAAATAAATATATCATGTGCAATTGGGTTACACAGCCTTTTAGCTGTCGACGTTAGTACGTACTCAATTTGATCAAGAAATCTGAAGGCAAAGTTTTCAGCTAACAAAGTCAGATGTATTATCGTTCAGTCTTGGTACTCTCGATATCATGTTAAAATATGCAAACAAAAGACGGAAACTCGTTCACTCACCGATCGCCGATGGGCTAACAATATCACCAGCTAAAAATGTTATTGTATCGGGATTTTCTTTTAGCAGTAATTTTCTAATGGTTGCCACTCTCGCCAATCCACCCTTCTTTCCAGCGTTTAGAGGTATCATTTCATAAACATCATTCATTTGTAAAAACGTCCATTGAATATTTGAACTTGGATCTGACACTATTGGAGGATAACCAATATCATCAACATATGAATAGTTTTTTATTGTTCTCCAATTAGATTTTGATTTTATTTCCGGATCCTTGGTAATTTCGTTTGATGTTCCAGAACGAAACCATCCGGCAATTCCAACGCCGAATAATACGACAAATAATAGAAATAATAATATTATTTGCCATACGCTAATTTGGACAGAACTTCGACATCCCATTTTATTATGTATACACTCAAAACATCAATTCTATTTCAAGACCAGAATTAATTGTACGACGTTCGATGAAATTGTCTGTGAGTTAGATGAGCGTACGAAAACATTTCCTCCTTGCTAAAAAGAAAATAAAGTTTATTGTCTTTACATCTACTTTGACTATCATTATAATGTGATAAAAATTTCGAATTTCTTGTCAAGATCACGGTAAGATGTAATTGTATTCTTGATACGAAATGAAACGGGAATGCAACTAGGGTAATATTTTCAGTAGAGCCCTGCAGGTTGCCACTTTTTGGTAGCCTATAACCTAACCTATAAAAAATTTCACAATCTAATCCTAACCTAATCTATGAAATTCGTGACCTAGTCGTAGCCTAACCTAGTCTATAATTTTTTGTTTTCAACTCACAGAACGTTACACACATATTTGGCAAAAGTAAACATACATGTCATTGGGTTTTTTGCCTTTCAAAGAACTAGGGCGTGGATAACACAAAATTAGAAAAAAATTTCGTTCGCATAAAAGTACTAAGAAATCGAAAAAAATTAAATCACAACCAACAACCTAACCTAACCTATAACTTTTGTAACCTAATTCTAACCTAACCTGCAAGACTCTGATCTTCAGTTAGACAGATTCCTTTCACACAAGATTACCTATAAAATCTCACCTCTTGATATAGAAATGTAAAAGTTCAAATATTTACTCCTCGTAATTGATATAATCTATAGTGTAGTATCGTCGTTGAAGAAAAAACTTTTTACTTGATGACGTCTTTTGAAGACATACAGTTTTCCACAGCTTGATGATAAACAAAAAAAAGAATGTTGTTTAACCAACAGATAAGACGTAACTTATCTTTGCGCTTAACATACTTCGTCTTCAAAAGGGGTTCGATTATTTTCAAATTGGTCCTAGAAGATGAAATCTTTTCAAACGTCGGTAATTTATCGAAAAGACATATCGTAAATTCAAAGAACGATATTTTTAGCGACTGTACCAACAATTTTTAGTGAAGATAAATTGAGCAAATATAAAAAAACAACAAATGACATCGTCTATACAATAAAAGCTATTTTCTCCGAAAAACTAAATATTGTTCTCTGATACTTCCATTAGTGTACTCGATAAATTGTTTATATTGATAAATCTATTATTATCTTGAAAAAAGCTTTAATTAATAAAATAATTCATATTTGATACCTTTTTTTTTGTTCTATTTTTGATTGAGTATATTATTTGGTACGTCGTAGACTAATCTATGCTCTTTTTTTCCATCCCCAGTGAGTATGATATTTGTTGCATTTTTTTCATGCTATTTATCCGTACTGTTATTTATGTTATATAAAATTTTTTATTATCCTCGATACGTACAATATAGAGCCCCAAGTAAATTTCCTCTTATCAGAAAAATGAAGATAAGCCTTTTTTTTGTTGTAATATTGCCAGCTTTTTTTTTTTATACAAAATATTTCAAAAAAGTTAAGGTGAAGGACATACACGTTATTGCTTTGTTTATCTAAAAAAGTACTCTCTTCAAAAACGCATATACTATATTAAATGTATATTTCTTGAGTCTGTCTGTTGTATTAAACTGTCTTGTTCAATCTATGATGCATCTGCTTCTATAGATTTATATGAAATAATTTATAACTGAAAAGACAATTTATAAAGATCTATCGTATTGTTTCTCATTTTTATCTAAAATAAATAGATGATTTATATATCTAAACATCATATAAACGTTAGAGTATTAGACGAGCTGTTTATGATAAATATTTTTCATAGGGGTATTAATTATTTACTCAATAATCGATATTGCTTCAGGAATAAATATCAGATACATTTGTAAGATTACACGGATGAATTGTGAATAAATAGAAAGAGATCTTATATATGCACTTAATATCTAAATAAAAATAAAATATATATTTACTGCGATCACTGTTGTCTGTTGGGTATTTTTATTCCTCGAATTTTTTATAACATTTAAAATTTGGCTGTCATTTACAGCTGATAAAATCTATCGAATGAAAATTCTAGATTAGATCGACTTCTATTAACCAAAATTGTTATATCTATCATTGCGGATAAACTGTTGATGAAAGATATTTGTTTTAATATTGTATTTGTATTTATTTTGAAGTTCTTTGTTCACCTCTAATAGTGGCACACTAATTCAATATATAATAAATTATTCTAAAAAAATAGCATTGGATATTCAAATTTTTATGTACATTATAAATATTCTAAAACGTCTTTTATGGTCGTTTTGGAATTTTTTTTTTTTTTTTTGTGAAAATAGCCATAAATTCTTGTTCACTGTTTCTGACAAGCACTATGGATGAAATAGTGAGTGTATTAGAACAAGTTTTTTTTACATATTTACTCTTCTACAATAATTAAACAGCGGTAAAGTGAAAAGATTAATACGAACCATAATAAAATTTTCAACAAAAAAAAGTCGTGTAGTATATCCTAAAAATTTGTATCATACATTCCAATTTTCACAGCATAGTTTAACATTAAACATCAAAGAGTATGGGTATCAAAAACACTGATCAATTAAATATTTCCTACTAAGTGTTGAATATTGTAAATCGTATTTAATTGAGAAATTTCAGGAGTGTGAGTTTATTGTATAATCGTATCTCAAGAGATTCTAGTATCATATTGTATTCCTACTAAAGATGTTAGTCGCTCAAATTTTGCAGAAAATTACTTAGTAAATAAACAGTTTCATTTTATGTTATAAGAATAACTAGAGAGTAATTGGGCTAGTTTATCATATCACGTTCGTTGTGATTTTAGTTGCTTTAAAAGACAGATTTAAGAAAAATGAAATGAAAACGAAATTTGAACAAGAGAGAGAGAATTATTTTCCTTCTGAAGAACAAATGGCGCCGAACAAATAAATATACGAAAAATTTTAAAGACTAAAATACATTTTTCCTTCACCTGCGGCTCTTATTGGCCTCGAATCTGGACCTTCATTTCAGAGAAAGACGTGCAATCTCCAATGTCGGGAGAATATCCTACCTTTTCCAGAACTTTTCTAGCTTTCATAGGTAACTTTTCTAGATCACCAGGTGCACATTTTGCCTAAAAAGGGGACGAAAGAAAGAAAGAAAGAGAAATAAACTAGAATGTAATTGTGCTACGCATAAGTTGCGATGTCAATAGACTATGGCTCTACTCGCAGAAAGCGAAACGAATGATCTTTCCAGCAAATTCGCAGGTCACACATAATGGAATTTACATAAAAGAACTAGAAAGCAAATGTGTTACACAAATCATCACCAATTTCTAAAAGTTTTATGCTTAGGTGATAAAACACTACAGTAAAATCTCTTTTAGGGAAATACCTAAAAGTTAAAACGCAATAAATCACTTGAAGAACAAATTAGTGCTTGTTCTTTTTGCTTGTTGTGATTATCCCAAATTGCTTCAGTAATCAATTAATTACAAATGTTTGATATTTCTTCTCTTTTCAATTAACAAATCTGCCTTTTCTTCTTTTTTCTATATTCTACTGGAATTCTCTTGTCTTGCTTTCTTCTTTTTTCTACTAAATATCTCTTCTCAACATTTAAAAGTCTTTCTGTTTTATTTATAATTATAAGGTCAAAGAATTAAGTTATATTTCGTCTCGGGAACAAATGGTGCCAGACAATCAACTCTTATAAATGTACGAAAAGTTTCGAAGTCCAAAAAACATTTATTTATACTCATGTAGCTTATGGCGCCGAATCTGGACTTATGTTTGAAAAAAGAATGCGCTGTTGTTAATCTGCAGTATCTAGAGACTATCTTCTCGTGTTCATAAGTTTTCTACGTAGAGTAGTTCACTAGATCACGTCGTGTACATTTTGCAAAAAAAGTGACTAAACAAGAAAAAAAAGAACGATTACTTAATGACTGTCGACATAAAAACAAAATTTCCAGCAAAAACACATAATGTCTGTCGACATAAAAATAATTCTTAAGTAGAAAACAACTTCTGGAGCTAAATTAACTGACACAAATAATGATGCATCTCGAAGAGTTATTTTTAACTACAATATTAGTATGATTGGTCTTCTATGATCTGTCTCTTTTCACGTACAATGAAAGGATTCAAAAAAATAGATGTAGTCTCTTACAAAAATTTTAGTTAATAAGTTCGGTCCATACAACAGACCGTTTTTTCCGGGCTAACAGATCATGAAAAACGGCTCACGGTCGACCAGCATGGTTAAAGTAGAAGTTAATAACGGGTGGCCCAGATAAAACCGGCCACTTTTGTTCTTTGTTTTTGAGGCACTTCCCAGTAGTCCAAAGAGTTGGTTCTAAGCTCATTCAATAGAGAATAGAATTCTCTACAAACCTGCTATTTAAATCTCTGATAGCATTTTTCTCGTTTGAGCACCATTCAGAATATTGAATGACGCTGAGTTGTCGAACTGCGATATGCTTCGGTCGTCTCCTTTTTTTTGATTTTTAGCCCATTGCCTGAGGTTCAACAGTTAATTTTTCTACGTACAAAGTTAGAGAATTTTATGCTCTATCGATCTCACTCATTCACAACTTCGTACAATGTTTC